AAAGTGATATATCGATCTGGGAACCCTACATCCAAAATCAAAAAGATGTCTACCATAGAGAAATTGACTCCCTCAACATTGAAACTGACTGGAACCAATCCAGGTGCAATAATGTCCTCGGAATAAGATACATCGAGGGAGAGCAGATGGGAAAGAACTGTAACAATCCCAAGTACCTCCACCATGACCCATAACAGAGATGGAGGAAGATAGACATCCATAATATATGTGTGAAGACTTATGTTGATTGGTTCTATTTTAAATTGAAAACCCAGCCAGTAGGAACTGACATCCATGTGGGAGTAGGATGATGGATCCCAATTGAAGGAGTGAACTGCAATTTGATGATTCACTCCTTTGGTTTACATATTCTTTATAGCAGAGGATATCACTTTATCTACATCAACAGAACACCACCTCCCTACTCTACACTGAATGGTATTTTTGTATTGAAATTTTATGCCATTAAACCATTCAGATGGATGCCTCCATGGTCCACCACTCCAGTGGTAAGGACTCCCAAACTCTATTAGAAGAAAAGGGGAGCAAAATGTGGTGTAGAGTCCTAAGGAACATCAACACTTCAGACAGTGCAATGGGTGACCACGAAACCCTATTTTTAAAAGCAGACCATATCGATTTATTCAATACATGCAAGGTAAACCCTTTCTGGTTTACCCATGTATTCCATGGGTGGTATGGTCCGGAATGAGCATATTTATGAAGCAGTTCTTCATGATGATAATCTTCAAGTGATCTTGTGGAACACCCCATTTCAACAGTGTGCATTGCAAAACCATGGAACATATTAAGCTTGTCAACATGGCTGAACAACAGTGCAGATCTTAAAGGTTAAAGATTACCTGATCAGGCAACATTCACCACAGAGTGGGATGCAAACAATGAGAATTATGATGAAAAGGGAAATAAGGCCCCTGAAATAGTCACATGGAAGTCTGAAGAATGGCTACAGGTGGAAGACGATATCCCGAAGAGGAAGAAACAGTGACCCTATGCAAATACTGAGAGATGTACGTATTAGATGTAGTCTACATGCCCGACTAAAGAATTTCTTCCAACAGATGACAAGATGAGATGGCAGAGAAAAGGTAAGGTGTCAAATTTGATGAGAGACACTTGGAACAAAGTATGAGAGGATGACAAAAGAAAGGAATAAGCCAATTAAATCAAAAGCCGAACTCAATTGATGAGGGTGGAAGGAGAAAGATCACAAACAGAAGATGGTTGTCAAGAAATAAAGAGGCAGGAACAGGCACCATGGATGGAAGCCATGCAGGCAATATTACATTGAAGAGCATGTACAGGACATAGAAGTCTATCTGGATCAAGCCAAGGATAAAGGTGGAAGGGCAGCTCACCACAAAGGACTACGAATCCTCTGTGAACGGATTAACAGTGAAAATGTAGGACAGCCAGGGCAAAAGGATGAGGGACTGGAGACCAAAACAGAGGAAGTTTGTGATTGGGAGCATGTGACAAATGCATCAATGCGAGGAGTATCCCACTGAATGCAAAACCATTGGAAAATCATACAATTGAGAGACCACTCTGTTGGACAGATTCTATCTGGGCAGTAAAGATGATCTGGGACAAGATTGAAAGCACCTGGAACATGGCATGCAATGATATAAATATCCTGCATGTAGGCCCAAGAAAGAAGATCCAATGTGTGAAAACACAGGGATCAAGAATGGGTGCCAACCTGGTGATTGAGATAAGCAACCACTGTGGAATTGTCAGACTGAATCATTACCAGACAATGTCTGGCCAGATGGAGGAAATGATCCAAAGCCTGACAGACAGCGAGAAGCTCCAGAGTGTTGATCGACCTATGCCCCCATGGAAGGGAAGCATCTGTGAAAATATGTAAATCCAGACAAGGAGGAAGAGACACCTTCTGACATGTGGGTCCTGTCCAATCACCAATTCAGATCGTCGACTATAGTAGGAGGAAGGGTAATAAGAGCCTGAAAAGGATCCTGTGCAAGATTCCACTGGTTATGAAGCGCCCACTGAAGAGATAGCATATGAGCACAACCTTAGGGGATAAGTGCAGTCATGAAAGACCACATCTCCAAAAGTGATAGAATCTTGAGAGCTGTAAAAGAGGGAACAGTAAGAGTGTGGTGAACTGAGAGTTCCATCGAACAAAGTTGAAGAGGAGAAGGGTGGGCCAGACTGAGGTGGGTGTTGAAGAAAACCACCCAAATGGATCAAATATTGGGTAGGTCAAAGGAATGGCTTCCCCAATTTGATTAACTAGCCCATTCAATCCACTTCCTGGGGCAGCCGAAGAGTATGACAGGCAAACTCCGGTTCAGAACAAGCTAACAATAGCCAGTCGTCCATATAATAATGAAAATGCATCCCAAAAGTATGAAGATGAGGAGCAAAAGCTTGAACCACCCGACAAAAAAACATATGGGGCTGAGGCAAGCCCGCACAGTGCACAAAACTGATAAATCACCCCTCGATGGACAAACTAAAGATATGGTCACGACTGCCGAGCTATTGGTATATGTAAGTAAGCATTCACAACATCTATCTTAGTCCTCCATAAACATGGAGAAAACGCTCACCTGAGGGTGAGAAACGATTCCATGGTAAAACGAGGAAGATTGAGAAATTGATTAAGGCAGGACAACTCTATGACAGGCTGTCAGTCTCTGGTTTTCTAGGGGACAACAAACAACCTGGAATAAAAACTGGGTGAAAGATGATTCACAGGTTCAATGGCCTGTTGAGACAGAAGGTCTTGAACTGTCTCTGACAGATGCTGGTTGGTAATGGGATACTGAGGCAGTGGGAAGGAAATGGGTATCTGTGACAAAGGAGGAGGGGAAAGGAACTGTAGGGCAAGCCCATCTGAGAGAACCCATATAACTCACTGATCTGTGACGAAATATTGCCAAAGGGGAACAAAGTCACACAATTTATCTCCCATCGAACCAGAACCCACTGGGTAGTCATCAGTACTGTTAGCGTCCTGCCGATCTACGTCAGAGAAAATGATGAGATATGAAACTCTGGATGAAGGAACAGGCAATGGGTGAGGAGGACTAGGGAAACAGGAATAGGGGGCTCATTGTGATTCTGACTGCAACAAATGAGCTACAAAAGAAGAAAGGGTAGAGTGCTGAAGCAGGGATTCCATCATGATTCCAAAGTGCCCAGGATATGGTAAAAACATACCACCTAAGAAAAGGGGCTATACATAATCCCCTGAGATATGTGGGCAGCAAACAAACCTGCCGCATCATGACCCAGATGATCCAAACAACAGAGAAACCATGTGTGTAAAGCAAGAGCTGAGGATGACAAACAAGCCAACGTGAAGGTAATAAGGGAGAGGTTTTCCCTCAAAAATCCTCAGGATTTCGAGGTTATAGCCTCTGAAAGTAGATGCATGGTAAATAAGTACTGTAGAAAGGAAGTATGGGTAAGACAAAGCCATGAAAACTGGGAATGAGTGAAAGACACCGGAAAATCAGGGAGCCCCCCAAATCTAAAAATGGGCAGTCTGCATGATTATATGCCAAACAAATTGATCCATAGCCCATGGGGGCACTAGGCATGCTGGCACCCTCAACTAATTGAGAAGCAAAATACTCAACCCAAACCCTAATATCCAAGGAAGGTGGGAAACTTAATAAGGAGAGGAAGAACTATCATACAACAAATGAGGAGAGGATCATAGGAAACTGGGGAAAGGGATAAAACATCACATACCTGAGAAATCATATCTAAAAATGCTGTATTAGGCCCAGCTGAATCTGCAGATGAGGCATAGGAAGACATGGCAAAATCCAGTGGTGGAAAAAGCTTCCAAAATATTCATCAGAATGAACAGGTTTGAATTGTTTGCGGGGCAACTTCAAGAGAAGGTGGTTGACTCATATAATGATCAATCTGTTGGCAAATAATCGCAGATAAGGATAACGACTGGTCACCCCCACTCGCAGCCAGTGAAAAAGTGTTTATAGTAGGTGAGACCCAAAGTGATCACACTAACCTCAGAATTCATGGTAAATAATAAATCAAAAAAATTGTTTGAAATATAAAAACATACATGTGAAAAAAAACAATGGAAAGTAAATTGAAAATAAATCATCAGTTGTATAATCAAAAAAGATTAAAAAATCACTTCAGAAGTATAACTGCTAAAACAACAACGAAGTGCACAAGAGCAAAATTTTTAAACATCTAAAAATTATCACTGCCAAACAAGAAGTAATAATTTGGTAGAATTGAATAGCAGGAGTCACATGTGGGATGAGTGTGTGGTACTCTCATTGATGGAGGGTTGTCATATGATGATTTGCATGAGACACATACTGGAATGAGTCATTTCCAATGGAGAGGAGGCAAAAGGCTTGTGGCATGCATAAAAAAATGTTTTGCATATAGAGGGCAGCACTAAACAAGAATAGCTAATTATGAGAGAAGATGTAATGAATCGTATCGGAATAAGTGTTATATGATACAGAGAAGCAAAGACTGAGAATATATTTATATATTTCTTTTAGAAAGTAAAAAATCAAAATTTATATAACTTTGAATTTGAACTATAATTTTGATGCTAAGTTTATGGCCATACATTGATAATAAAGTTGTTTGAACCTAACACTAATAAAAAAATTATGACATTTGCTTTGACTTTGCTATGCACATAGGGTTAAGAATTACATGATGAAACCACAACAGTTTTTTCTTGAATAGGCATCATCCAAAGTTTAAGAATTCAGAACAGGCAGCTTTTAAGTATTGTAAGTTTGTATGTTGTTTTTTTACACCCACACATAGAAAATATCATTTACCTAGGTATTTCTCAATTAGCTTATTATATCATTTTATACGAATGTTTCAGAAAGTAGCCTCATGCATGAGTATTATCTTCTAAGAATTCAACACAGAAAAAATCTTAAAACATATTTTTGAGAAAGTCTGAAGTTATGTTCAGTAGGCACTCTCATTCTCACCTGAACTGATGAATAATGTTCATCTGAATCAACATTATTTTGTTGTTCAAAATGAATAATATTTTTGGAGGAAGAACCACCATCAACATAATGTTTCTGTTCTTCATGATATTTTTCAACCACATCACCTTCGCTCTCATAATCAACCTGTAAAAGAAACTGTACTACAGACTAATTGTATTAATAATTGGGAACTATACTGAGACACTGAAAATTAAACAAAAGATTTACTTTCTTATAAATGTACAAATAGCTGAAATATTGGTTAGACAATATATGGTGGCATGTACCATATGAAATGATCAAAATACAAGGTGCACTGATGGCACACACACCATAATTACTATGTTAACAGAGTTGGATGTTAAATCTAGCCCAATAGCCTAGGATGAGTGATAAAATGCATTCAGACTAGTAGCGAACACGAAACTCTACACTGATAGGGATGGTGGCTTAATATATAATATCAGTCATAGTTTGGACTTTTCGATATACACAAATTGTTTCACTTACATGGTAAAAGAGTGAATTTAGCTTTTCAAACTCACATGCACAAATTTGTTTATGAAACATACAAAAGCAAGTAACTTAATAGTCAATCAGAAAATGTTTTCTTTCTCTGTGGGTCAACATTAGTACACTGATGAATTTCTTGTGTTGAAGGTACACTGTACCAATCCAAAGAATCTTTTGATATATGTATTGTTACGATAGTGGAAGTCACGTGACGCTGATAACACGTCATGAGTTTCTAGATGGATCATGACTGTTCCTGGCAACTCTAGTGTTTGCTAGACGCCCT